ACAAATGAGAGCTCCATGGCCTCCCATGGAGTGGCCAAAAATTGACATCCTTTGGGGGTCCACTGGAAAATTGGCATTTATGAGTTGGGGAAGCTAGGAAAAAATTCACATCATGACAAAAGATGTCAGGAAAATAAGTTTAGATTTTTTCAAAGTTAAATAAAATAATTCTGTAATTAACACTTCTAAATCACAGTCTTATAATGCTTTCAATTAGTAATGATTAAAACAAAACAGATATCTCAGATATAGTTATTAATATGTCACTGGAGAATTTATGATGCAGACTTTTTAAAGCAGCCTCAGGAAAAGGATGCAGAAGGAACCTGTAAAATGTTCTATGCTTTTGACCTAGTAATTTTATGCAAAAACATAAATATCATAAATGAGGAAAAAGTAAATTATAGTGTAAGATAGAATGTTATACGTTTACTAAAATTAGAATAATTACTAGAAAATATTTCTAACTAAAAAAAAGACTAGGATAAAAATTTTTACAGATTTATTAGATTAATACATCTTGGGTGGTGCTTGTGGCTCAGTGAGTGGGGTGTCAGCCCCATATACCAAGGCTCAAACCCAGCATTGGCCAAGCTGCAACAACAACAACAAAAATAAATAAAAAAATAAAAACGTAATGCTTTACCATTTACTTATCCTTGGCTTATCACTGTAAAATATATCCAAATGAACTAGCTGCCAGAGAATAATTTTTCCATATACTATTTTCTCTGATATTCTAGGTAGTATACATGAATCTTATATAATTGTTAAATTCTTTAAAATTGCATTTGGTATTAAGTTATATCAAATAGGACTACAGTACTAGTAAAATTTGGAATTTTCACTAAATATGTGTCAAATAAATTATCAGACCCTAGTTTAAAATTCTCAGAACTGTGTCCAAATCAAACTCTTGGTAGTTATCAGTTAATAATTGTAATACAAATTAAATTACCTCCTCTGTTATATAAGAGTACATTCTATAGTTAGTTTTCCAAGGATCTTCAGTGGCATCCACGTAAAACCCAGCTCCGGTACCAAAGTCCCAGCTGTCATCTTCTCCTTTAATATTGCAGCCACCTATTAAGGAAAAATCTTGTGGTTTCATCTACTCCACAGGAATGGCACATGTTTAATGACATACATTTAGATAAATTTACAAGTCCATTTGCATCAGAGCTGATCACCAAATGTTAAATATTATGAGCTCTTTGTCTTTTGGGGCACATGGTAGGATTACCACTACTTATTGGCCCTCTTGCCCTTGAATGGGGCCATGTGACTAGTTCTGGCCAATAAGATGAGAGAGGGAACAACTTTCTAAGCTGTAACATTCAGCTGCCAAGGTAAGGCATGCTAGTTTTCTCTGTGGATGAAGTTTAGTCTTATGTATGCTGAACATATGCTCTCTTACTTTGTTTTGCCTGTCAAAGGCCTGATATCTCCTTTTTATCTTTCTGAATATATTGGGATCCTTTCCCTAAGAACCCTCCTCCATAAACACTTCCTTAACCACTGTGGTTTTAGAACAGAAGGGAGACAAACACTTGTACTCGATTCACTATCTTGAACTGAAAATGTCTATTCTACTGATGTGCTCTGGAATCATTCTATCATGTTTCCCTATTTACTCATCCCCCAGTAGAATTTCCTTGTATTCTTTTTAAATTTATTAGATTTTATATACTTGCATGTAGTTAATAAGCCAACCATTGGGATTTTGAATAGACTTACAGTAACTTGAAAGAAATTAT